ATTAAATCGATCAATGATCATGTTATGAAGATAAACATAGCACCGCAATTGCTTTAGGAGGGAAACATGCAAAATCAATTGGCCACCCAATTGCTTTATATAATATAAAGATTAATTGTATGTCTGGATGGACCAAACAACTCAATTGCAAAATTGCAAAATCAATTGAGCACCACAATTGCTTTAGGAGGGAAAATTGCAAAATCAATTGGCCAACCAATTGTTTTATATAATGTAAAGAAATAATATAGAGATACATGACTGTATGAATAATAAATGACTTTTAAATGAATTAATTATGTGCCTGGATGGACCAAACAACTCAATTGCGAAATTGAAAAATCAATTGAGCACCACAATTGCTTTATGAGGAAAAATTGCAAAATCAATTGACCAACCAATTGCTTTATATAATATAAAGATGACCGTATGAATAATAAATAACTTTTAATTGAATTAATTATGTGTCTGGATGGACCAAACAACTCAATTGCAAAATTGTAAAATCGACTGAGCACCGCAATTGCTTTAGGAGGGAAAATTGCAAAATTAATTGGCCACCCAATTGCTTTATATAATACAAAGATTAATTGTGTGGCTGGATGGACCAAACAACTTAATTGCAAAATTGCAAAATCAATTGAGCATCGCAATTGCTTTACGAGGGAAAATTGCAAAATCAATTGGCCACACAATTGCTTCATATAATATAAAGATGTATAGAATTATGTTCAAGTGAGAAAATGATATTAGGAGAGAAATGAGAATAAATCTGGATCGTTAGATTGTATTCTGTGAATTTGAATTTGCATTAAATGAAACTGAAATGTGCATTAGGTGAAATCAAAATGTGCAACACAAAAGGTAAGACACAATGGTATAATGTAAAGCTGAATTGTGCATTAGGGGAAACTGAAATGTGCACTAGTGAAACTGAAATGTACAGAATAAAAACTACGTTGCAGTGACATTTTTGTGTCTTTTATTCTGCACATTTCAATTTCACGTAATGCACATTTGAGTTTTACTTTTTATTCTTCACATTTCAATTTCACTTAATACACATTTCAGTTTTACCAAATGCACAATTCAATTTCACATAATACAATCCAACGGTCCAGATTTATTCTCATTTCTCTCCTGAGAGTCCTTTCTCATTGGAACTACTCTATATATATATATATATATATATATATATATATATATATATATATATATATATATATATATATGTGTGTGTGTGTGTGTGTGTGTGCATGTATATGTATATATATATATATATATGCATGTGTATATATATATATATATATATATAGAGAGAGAGAGAGAGAGAGAGAGAAATATTCCTCTCCGGAATTCCGGAAAGGAACCTCCATCCAGACGACGGCGTTTCGGTGTCTTCCTGGTAGACTTTTTTTATGAAATATTTGTGGCACGTTCTTCATCAAATCTAGTTTATCCACACAAAAATTCAGCTAAAAGTTCAATCAGGAAGGTCGTCAAATAATTTTTGGAAGTTAACTGCGTGTTATATGTATATTATGGCGTAGTTATCTTTCAAAAATAATTTGACGGCCTTTACGATTGAATTTTTATCTTAACTTTTGTGTGGATGAACTAGACTTGATGATGAACATGTCATAAAAATTGCATCAAAAAGTTTCACCGAGAAGGTCCCTAAATGCCGCCGTCCGAATGATGGTTCTGGTCAGTAATTCATGACCGGAAGAGTACTCTCTCTCTATATATAATCTCATTATGTGTCAACTAATAAATGCAAAAACCACTAATAAGCTGTGGAGGACCTAGGGGGTCCTAGGGGGGGGCAAGTGCCCCCACTTCTGACCCTGAAATTTAGTATTAGTACTTATGATAGAATTAGTGTCCCCGCTTCTTGATATAAACTATGACTGTTAGATAAGTAATGATTCTGTCAAAGAGCATATGTAAATTGTTATAAAACATTTAAATGACTAGGGAGTTATGATGAAAAGATTTCATATAGTTAGACATGTTTTTGACACGATCATTCTTTGAAAAGTGGCGTTGATGGTTATTTTTTGTTAAGTACGGATTATCTTTTTCCAAAATTAGAAGTCAATGATATGATAAGACTTCTAATATGTGCGGTGAGCTTAGTGAATTCAAGATTATCTTAAATGAAATTCCATAAACAAGTTATATTCATTGTTTTCTCACCAATTACAATTTGTTGTTGTGGCTGCTGAAAGAAGTTTGTGGATACTTTCTTTGGATATTTGTCCATGGTTATGTTACTAAAATGTTTGGATCCTCTTGTAAAATAAAGAGCGTATTCCGACAAAACTAAATATTACCATAAGAGAGTTATTAGAAAAGAGTGTAGTAGTAACAAACGAGAGATGATTGAATCAAAAAATTAAAGTAGTTTAGCTATGGCGGGAGTTACATGTTAGGGTTCACAATTTCATCTCAAGTTTATGAAGGAATTTTGGATACTGTAATTTTGTGGCACGACGTGTAGCATTGGACACTATCCTAGTTCTAAATCAAAATTCTGACCGTTTGTAGTACAAAAACAACTTGAATTCAAATCTAATTCGATCATATGAAGTATTATGTTTTTCTTTCAAGAAACTGATTAATAGTATTTAAATTTGTTTAATGGGTTGAAAACTAGACATGTTGTACGTAGATGTAAATCATTTGAAACTGACATTGAACAACTTATTTATGTTTAAAAAATGTCTAAAACATTGAATAGATTAGTCTCACACCCAATCCGACCCATCTCCGTTCATACAGTAATGCCCTTGCTTGAGAAATTTTTTAGGTCCGTCACCGCTAGTAAAAGAATAACATCTAAAGAGAAATAATAGTTTCAATGAGAAGCAACAAGAAAATAATAACACACTGTGAGACTAACAACAAAACACAGAATAAGTAATCCACAAATTGAGATGAACTATGAGGCTTAGAGGCCGGGCTATTGTTGCAAAGGATTTCGAAGTCCGCTCAACTATAATTAGCAAACCGTACAAAGGTATTCCATCAGGCTACAAACCGGTGATATGTAATGTCATATAGTTTGAAGAATATGTGAGCCAGAAACTTCATAAACAACGAAAAGAAGAAGACAACGAAATTAAAACAGTAATGATGAAAAGGAAAATACACATGAAAATTACAACACCTAATCGTAGAAGGAACGGTCCAGAAATTACGATTAAGATTACGGGTCGAAATTTGAAAACAATTTCACCTACCATGGACAAAGATGTCTGTACATCGGGATCGTTAGTCCATAACAAAATAAAATCTATTAGTGTAGTATACTAGGCAGGGCAAATTATACCGTACACCCAGATGTACGATCCTCACCGTACATCCGAGTATTTTTGTAAATGTTTTTTATCTGCAGGTAGCTCAGTTCGTTCGTTCATCCCTCATATGCTCTTTTTTATTTTTCGCTGACAGCTTTAGTCCACTACGTGCAACCATATTTGCTATCTTCCGTTTGACTTTTCTCTTTGCTGTCACGTAAGATGAATATTTATTAAGTTATTAAATAGTATATACTAAGTACTAATTAACATTAGTTTTATGTTATATTCAACAGAATTGGTCGCGATCTGGTGCTTAGTAAAAATTCATTAATGCTCATTTAATAGAAACTATGAATTTCATCTTAATAGAGGATGTTTGATGCTCGATAAAATGTCGTGATGTTCAACTAACAACTTTACATTTTTCATATCAATGCACATTGTGTAAGTTATACATATGCTCATTTGATACTGATTTTATGCTCATATATATGTAAAATGTCATATCAATGCATATTTAAAAAGTGTCATTAAATTAAATTTGCATATCACGGTTTCTAGGGAATGAGCATTCATAAAATTTTTATGAGCATCAGACCTATTATGTTGAGTATTAGGAGTCTAATTATTTTGAAATATACATTGATATAACATTTTAAATTGAGCATAACATCAGTACAAAATGAGCATACTCACTTATCAAATGAGCAATGATAGGAAAATCATAAGCTTTGTTAGTTGAGCATCAACCCCCTCTATTGAGTATCTGAAACATGCAATTGAGTATCATTATCTTTGCTATCGAGTCTATAAACAACTTTCTTGCGAATCTAATGTAATATGATAGTTTTGAAATATGCATTGATATGACATTTTAAAATGAGCACAAAACCAATATCAGATGAGCATACGTAACGTACAAAATGAGTATCGAAAACTTTAAAAGCTCAGCTCATTTAAAAATCTCTAATGTGTTCAAATATTCAGTTATGTGTGCTCATTCCTTTTAAATGTTATACACAATATTAACACACATTATTAAAATAATTAATACACAATATTTAATAAAATAAAAATATTAATACCTAAAATGTTATATAATGCACAAATTAAAAAGTGAAGTTATAAACTAATAAAAGTTGATTGGGATAAGAAAATAAATAAAATAAGCATGGGGTCTTGGACATTAAAATATTAAATAATACGTAGTATTCTATATTTGCACTTTAAAAAAACAAAGCAAAAGAAGGTTAAAGAAAAAGGAAATACGGAGTAGAAAATATGCCCTCAAGGCCTCAACTCAAGATCGATGAGAGCATAAGTCGGTAGAAAGCATGCAGGAGGTGGTCTATATCCAGAAGGTGTTCGACGAGAGGTGCCAGTGCAGAACACATGGCAGCAGAGAATTAAGACATGAAGTATTAATTGAAGCGTGACTTTGCAAAATATTACAAAAAAACCGGGTGTACCTGTACACCCGGGTGTAGGATATACGGATCTGCAGGCAGGCAGGGGTAATTTATAAGGTAATTTATAGGACTATTATAATTTATAGGTATGCATAATTGAATTTAGTCTTATTTTGGACAATTTTCTCTTTAAATATCAATTCTCAAAGTCAAACTCTTAATATTTAATGTGCTTGATTGTAATATATTATTCATCAAATGTCAATTTATTATAGATTGATGTGTACTTCGATATATTACGGAGTAATAGATAATTAGGATCAAACGTAAAAAGTTAAATGGTGACATTCATTATGAAAACAAAGGGAGTACACAACATTCACTTTTATTTGACACAAAATTAGAGAAAGACGATTCAAAAGATGCAAACACATGCACCTCATAAAGTACAACCGGAAATGTGAAAAGCCTATCGACCACAGAAATCAAGTAAATATGCTGTTCATCTATGGCCTACAGATCGATCACACTTTTATTAGAGAATACAGAAATAGGTGAAAACAACATTCATATTTAATTTTACATTTACGCGTGACATGAAGGCCGGCCTAAATGTAAAATATCACTTGCTTATTATGGATATATAATTTGCTGCTTGATGACGAGTTCATTATTGTCCACAAACATGTCCCAGACCTAGGCTTGGGCGACATTTAGGTCCACATATTGCACCCTCACAATCCGCATCAGAACTACAAACCCTTACATTGAGACAGAACCCTAACCTCTTCATATATGCTTGACCTAAAACCACAGAGCACATGCTTTATAATAATAATAATAGGAATAATTATAATAATAATAATAATAATAATAATAATAATAATAGAAAAGGGTCAAATAAGGCTGTCTACTATTATCAAATAGAGTGTTATATAAGTACATCTACTTCTAAAAAGCAATCAAATGAGTCCTAATGACCTATTTAACACCTCTTAATCCCGGTTTCAACGTACTTTTGACCATCTTTTTAGAATACATTATACGGCATATGTCGAATATTTAACTAAGATTGGTTGAAATACAAGTCAAAAAATCGACATGTAAACTAAAATCGGGATTAGGAGGTGTTAAATAAGCCGTTAGGACTCATTTGATTGTTTTATACAAGTAGAGGTATTTATATGACACTTTATTGAGTACATGAACTTATGTGACTATTTTCGTAATAGTAGATGACCTTATTTGACCTTATTTTCTAATACTAATAATAACAATAACAATAATAATAATAATCACAATCAAAATGTCACCCACCATTTAACTTTTAGTTAGTTAGACTAAAAAATGTACTAGTAGTATACTCCCTCCGTGCTCTAATAGATGGGAGTATAGCCTTTGCCACAAGATTAATAGGGGTAGGATAAAAGGTGTAGTGGGTTGTGTGTAAAGATAAAAGTAGGAAAGAGAATGAAAAAGTAGGAAAGAGAATGAGAGTAAATGAGTATATTTATTGAAAAAACTTACCAAAAGTTGAAAGAGAGACAACTAATAAAGAAATCTCAAAATGGAAAGAGGGCCAAGTATTAGAGAACAGAAGGAGTAATTTGGTGGTGTTGATGAGTTTCCATTTACCAAAGATCCCTTTTAGTCTTTTACCCTGGCCTAAACCAATCCCAAGCACATCAATCAGGGATCGGAGTATAATTTAATTTTTGGTAGATTCTATGGTACCTATAAGGTACCATACATTTGTCCACATGGACCAATGAAAATGTATCAGTTTAATTATTTAAATCTAAATTAAAAATGATAAAGTGGTGTGGTCCAATCAAATGAATGGTAAGTACGGTAACTCATTTTTTAGAAAGGTACCGGAGTTGTCACCTTAATTTTTACCCAAACGTTTATTTTAGATGCCAAACCATCATTTCTCAGGAGCAAGTGTTGAAAGGCTTATCAGCGAGTCGTCGACTCACTCTCCTATACGAAATATCTCGAGTTCAAAATTCACAGAGTGAGTTTAAATCCTGTTCACTTCTGGCCCCCTTGACCCCCGGCCAGTATGATTCAAGCTAAATTTTAAGCTGAAACTTTGTGAATATAATCTACACTTGAGGAAAAATCTACACTTTGTGAATATAATCTACATTTGAGGAGCCCCAAATGGCTTTGGCCGGACAGCGGCCTCCATGCGGACCGCTTGATGAGAAGAGTTCTAGCTCTATATATACACACACACACGCACACAATAAGTATGATATAAGGAGTAGTATATTAGTAAACAAACCATAGCGAGTGAAAAACAGTTGAGCAAGAGCAGCTGGTATGACTTCCTTCTCAAGCTTATCAGTTTGACTTGGCAAGACCAACAACTCATTGTCATCGTTAATGTGATCAGCCATCAGTGAAGGCACTGCATGTTGACAAATTAGAGATCATATTTAATTCGTAAAGATGTTATATTTTGTACTACTTATAAAATACCGGCCACCACCGGCCAGCTGATAACTAACAGCTGGGAAAAGCTACTAGCTAGGGAGGAAAGAGTGAGAAACAAACCAGAAGTAGCTAACAAGAAAAAAGTCAACACACATAATTTCACCATCATTTTCTCCATTGAACTCTGGAATTCTTTGCTTCAATGGGTCGAATTTATAGAAACGGACCAAGGTTACGTACCTACTGGTACATAAAGCGTAATGTAATCTGAATAAATTATTTCAATATATTGTTTGCTTTATTGGGGTAACATTGGAATTCTTTGCTTCAATTTGTACGTACGTATCTAACTTTTCTGATTAAGTCACATTATTGTTTTCAAAAAAAATCAAGTCACATTATTTTGAATAAATCATTCCATTCTTTGATTTCTTATAAATTTTAATTTGGTTTTATTTGTTAGATTAATTCGTTTTTGCAAGATTTAATGCAAATTTTATAGCTTTTCATTTTCCAAGATATACTGTGAAAATTTAGTGAAAGTTTTCGAAAATATACACTTAGTTAAAAAAAAATAAAAGACATTACGGTGACATGCATGTGGTAGCAATATATAGGTTGTTGGGATAATGGGCCAGGTCCAATACTATCGACCCAATATGCCTGGGCTCGGGCGCGAATCAGGCCCAGCACACGGTCCGGCTAGATAATATGGTCCTTGGATTGATTAGTTTAACTCTGGGCCCGACCAGCCCATTGGTCTGGGATCAGGCTTCTTGTTTTAGTTGTTTAATTGGGCCAAGCCCATTAGTATTCAAGAAACCTCTTGTAAGCGCCTATAAATAGGCCGCCCCTCTTTTTGTATTGGATAAGTCACTTTTACTGTACTGAATTGTTGCCGAATTTTCTACTCAACATATTTTCTACCAACATTGGTGCTTTCATTGAGAGCTGAGTTGTTCTCTCAGTTTTCGGTAGAATCTTTGAGGAGGAAAATGGCAGGATCATCAAGGCAAGAGCGAGTTTCCGTTCACACCGAGCATTCAGAACAACCCAATGGCCATCATGTGAGAAGCCAGGTGGTGAGACCGATAGGAGATCTCCGGAGCCATTTGTCGGGCTCAGGGGACCTGAGGGGCTCGCTAAGCCGTAGTCATGACAGACAATCCATTCGTGATCGGATTGGAGGTCGCCGTCGTCGGGCTCCGCGCACGAACCGACTTGACGCTGGAGTGCGGGCGCTACAGGAGGCCACGCGTGCCATTGGGGCTTTGGCTCAGAATTTCCTGGGGATGATGCCGCAGAGAGCTAATCATGAAACTCCGAGGCACGCCGCCCCTGAAGACATCGAGACTTCCTCTGGGAGATATGAAGGGCGACATACTAGTTTGGACGAATCACGAAGGGAATCCTTGCCCCGGAGGGAGCATATGTCCCGACGGATCGAGCAGCCTCGACGACCCGAAAGAGGAGGGCCCCACCGAGACTCGTCACTGGAGGGCGGGGATGACTTCTCTCATCACCCCCAGCGTCTGACCACGGCCAAACAGCTTGCTCACCCTTCTCGCACATCCGTCGTCTGACCACGACCAAACAGCTTGCTCACCAGTTGGTCCTAGACCGATGGTGTGCGGGTCAGCCTCGCCTTACCAAGCGGGGCGCGGTCAAGGTTGGCCCAGCGGACCTTCCGCCCCTCGTGGTTTAGGTGGGGAGCCAGATCCCCGACTAGTTCCCCAAGTGGTCTCGAATCAAAAATGGTTAAATGAATGGAAAAGATGAACCATGACACGGGTGCAAAGTTGCGCAAAGAGGAAAGCTTATATGGCTAAGTGTGAGAATAAATAAAAACACAAGTGCGGAATGTAATGCGGAATGTCCAACAAAAATGAGAATAAAGACGAGAATATAAGAGATCCATATCTACGATCTAAGGATCAGGCATGTTCTCAGGAACACCATTGAGGATAGTCTCAAAATCAAAGCCATGAACGGCATCTTCCAAGTCATCTGGAATATCCAAGTGCAAAAGGGACAAATCGTTCGCTTGCTCGTTGGCCCCGTCAGGATCTGGCATGATTTCGGGCAAACCAAATTTTTCGGGATCGAAGTCGGGATAGAACTCTGCCAGCCTATTGTACAACGTGGTCTGCATGTCGTATCGGCCACACCTGAAGGACATGAGAATTTCCTTATCCCGCCAAAGTTGACCCTCCTCGGTTTTCAACCATGCTTGGACCTGCTCTGAGCGGTGAGCCTCCAGCTTCGAAGCGATGATTTTTGAAAATTCCGGGGATGTTTGAAATGCCGCAACTGCCTGACGCCACGCATCCGTGAACGATGCTTGCAGTCGATCATACTTCGATTGTAGGAAGTCATATTTTGACTGGAGCTCGGACAAAGCAGCTGTTGCTTCGTCCGCCCGACGCTGAACGGCAACCGAGTGACGGTGAGCCTCGTCAGCCTGGTGCTGGAGCTCATCGCGACGACGACCTATTGTTTGAAGCGCGACGGCTGTGTCCATTAGCCCCTGCAGGAGACGTAGAATTAGTGAGGATTATAGTGACAATGATAATAAAAAAGGAAGAGTGAAACGTCAAATTATGGCATACCGCGCTGTAAGATTTGATAGAGCGCGCCATATCCAAAATCGATGAAGCACTGAGGGTAGGAGCTGGCTGGTTAACAAGAGGGGCCCCGTGTTGTTTTTCCACGATGAAGGGAATGACTTCAGTCCTCGAAGGCCGGAACCTGGCGTCCTCCTCTGCGGCCAGAGCAGCGAGGCTGCCCCGCATACCAGCAACCTCTACAAGAAATAAACAGAGTAAAATGGATTAGTACCGGTTGAACTATTTCTCCGCTCCCGAATCAAAGAGGAGGATTCACACCTTTCTTCTTCTTACCGGCTTGTTCCCCATGACGTGGGGGAACCCCGCTCTTCACCCCGACGTCTACCTCGGGCATGGTGGCGTCGGGCATGCCCCTACTTGCAACGGGTACCACGGACTGGGGGGCAACACCCTGCCCGCTCTTCACCCCGGCGTCTACCTCGGGCATGGTGGCGTCGGACACGCTCCTACTTGCATCAGGTACCACGGATTGGGGGGCAACACCCTGCGCCGTAACTAGGCCTGCTTGAAAAAAAGAAGAAGAAGGAATAAATAATAAAAATAAACAAGAGGGTGGTGGAGTTATTTCAGCCGGGTCTTTCTCCTCTTGAATTAGAGTGGAGTTCACACCTTTTCCGTCCATGGCAACCTGCTCTTCACGGAACGGGGAGGCCCCGCGCTTCTCCCCAAGATTGGGCGGACATAAATTCGCACCAGGCGCAGGAGGTGGGAGCATGGTCCCCAATGACACATTGGGGGCAGCAACTTCGTGTCTGTTGCCTGCCACATCTGAAAATATTAGCAAATTAAGGGATGATCTCATATGGCATCTGTGACCTGCTGGGACAGAAGATTTACCTGTATACGAATTAATCGGGAAAGGGCCCCCTTGGAGCAAGGCCTCGACCTTCTCCTCAAGGTCAGGGGTGAGAGAGGCAGGCTTGTACTCGCGCATTGAAATACCCCAGGTGGACGTGACGGGGAGCGAGCGGGGAGCGGATGCCCATACCCATTTATTCGACCACTTCCTAGGTGGATCTGGATTTTGATCAAAGAGCTTGCGGTGCGGTAATTGGCAAAGTGACACGAACCCGCCGTCATCTGTCTTATTGTTAGGGCGGTTCCACCTAAAGCATGCACGGGACAACGGTATGGATGGCCGGATACCAACGCCACTACAACGTGCGACAAAAGCAGCCGTAAACATATGTGCGGTTGGGGTCATCTGGCACGGCGATACCCCGATATGGGCAAGGAGTGCCACCAAGAATGGACATAAAGGCACCCGCATGCCCCGCGCGATAGATGCAATGTGAACCCCGAAGAACGAATCTGGAGGAGGGCTGGTGAGGCTACTCTCGGGATCTGGCAACATGAGGGTGCAATTGCTATCGACCAAACTTTTCGCCAACTTCAAATCTGCCTCCGTACTGGTGGAACGCAAACGTTCCCTCCAAGCGTTAGGATCTTCGACGCTATCCGATTCGCCATTTGATTTGGGGGAGCTATCCGACTGTGAGGCAATGTCCACTACAGGGGTGACGTTGTTGGAGGATGGCACAGACTGGTCATGTGGCCCCCCCGGAGCAGGCCGGAGATGTCCCTTAACGATCACAATCCGCGTAGCGGGTCTGTCCAACCGCGAGGAGGTGGTGACCTTTTCATGCATCGAAAAATTATCGGAGACCCCTTGATTTTTCCCTGATGCCCCGAATTCGGGCTGAGACGTTGCATTCACCCCGCTGGCTTGAATTTGTTTAACCAAGCCTCCACGCACGGACTCTTTCCCCACCTCGCCACGATGGGCTCGTGCAACCAAGTTCCCAGACTGTGGCAGTGCGTCCGCCTCGCCCGGGGGGTCTCGCACAGATGATATTTGACCCGCTGGAGGTTTCTGGGACTGTTTGACAGACGGACGACGTTCACGGGTGGAGAGGGCACTATGATGAGCTCCGTGTCGTGAACTGTGTTGAGAACCTGTGCGTAGGCTTGGAACAGGCGGCGATGATGACTTTGAATCGCTGGGTTTTTTCCGACCGCCTGGGCTACGAGATCGCGACGACGAACAACGTCGTGAATGACCCTCCCTCCGGCGCGACGGAGAAGGGGAGCCGCTGCGTTTCCTTCGCCGACTGGGGATGGAGCGACGCGGCGATGCCGTGGCTGTGGCTGGAACGGCTGAAGCTGAGGGGACCTGCATGGCTGAATTGCGCGTGGATGATCGAGGGTGTTAAGGCTAGGCCACACTCGGATTCAAGGAAATTAAAAGAATATGGAAAGAAGAAAAAAAGGAAGGAAATTATTAATTGGAATAGCTCCGGGTTATTTTAGGAAGCTGGCCTGGGGTTTCTGTGACAAAACGCGAAGGCTTGGACGAGATTCCAACCCTGGCTGCGGGGTTCTTTATTGGTCGGGTGTGCGGCTAAAGCCCATGTATATCCGTCGCATGGTCAATATACGGCTACAGCGAGACCCCCGTCCTTTCGCAAGCAGTAGGGAGCAAAGCAAAGGGGCCGATCAAGGCCTGCAAAGTATGGCCCCCCTACGGGCCAACGAT